CGACCTACCGCTGCCAAGTCCATGGACGATTGCCGTCAAGGCGGCATGCGTCGCTCAACTGCACTTGCACCACAGCCTCGTACAAGAGCCCGAGCAGCCTGCTCTTCGTCGGCTTCTCCGGCTCCTCGCCCAACACGAGTGGCCGCGACGTCACCTCGTCCCGCGGATTGCGCTCCTGCCTCCGCCTGCCTAAATCAAGTCCCTCAACCGAGTACACACAACGAAGAAAGTCCGACAATTTTATTTAGCATAGTTTTATCTATTGTAATAGAGGACCCAATTCAACAACAACTGCGATGCGGTTGGACCAATCAAACGTCGGGATGGATTGCACTAATCGGTTTAAAACAGTTGTTTATAACAGACGAGTAAAACAGACGAGTGCAACAGAGCGGTGGTTGATCCATTTCAGCAAGGGAATACATGCAGTGTTGTTGTGCTCCATAGGATTCCAGTCATCGGACCGGAGGCAGTTGACATGTGGATACACCATCGTCTTGTAAAAGCCTCGTATGGTATTAAAAGATATAGCTGGATTGTTCGTCGTCCTCGTAGGCGCCTGTCGGGCGCGCTGGTGGCACGACGTTGTTCTTGTATGGGTTGTGGGTTGTCGTTGTCGTCGTTGTAGCACTTGGTAGTGGTCGCGGTGCCAAAAATGATGTCGGTGTCCCGGTCGTCGGAGTCCGCGGCGGCTGCGCCCGCGTCCGTTGCTGCACGGCGAGGCTTGGTCGGTTGAAAAGACCGAGTGCGTCCTTGGCGCCCGCGGTTGTCGGCGTCGTGCCGGCGTAGCGCTGGTAGCTAAAGTCGTCGGTGGCCGGCGCCGCCGTCGCATCCAGCGATGCGCGGTTGGAGAACGTCGACGGGTTGATTATCGCGCGCCGCGAGAGCGGGTCGACCGTGATCTTGTTGGCGTTGGAGGCAATCGCAACCGACGTCATTTCCATTTCGCCGCCCTGCGACGACGGCGGCGCGTCGGTCAAGCCTGAGCGCGAGTTGATGTCGTTCGTGCGCTTCTTGACCTTGAAGTAGACGATGACCAACAAGATGAGAAAGACGAGCGAAATGCCGATGCCAATGATAAGGATCGTCGTCGACGAAATGCCCGAGCTCGACGCCGCTGGCGCCTCCGTTGGCGGCGCGGTCGTCGTCAATGGCGTCGTGGCACCCGGCGGTGTCGAGACCGGTGTCGTCGTCGAGACCGGTGTCGTCGTTTTGGAGGGTGTCGTCGTTGCGTCCGCCTTGATCGTGGCGTTGACGCCCGTTGAAAACACTTGGCCGCTGCCCGAGGTGTACATGGGCGCGAGATAGTATGCGCCCGCCGTCTTTAGAGGCACGGTCGCCGTGTACGAGGTGTGGGTGGCGTCAATGACCGTCGCCGTCGCCGGGACAAAGGTCGATGCGGCGCCGAGTGCGCACGAGGTCGTCGCAAACGAGCAGACAGCGACGGATCCTGTGCCGGTGATCGGATCGCCATACGTACTGTGCACGGTAAAGGTCACGGTTTCGGTTCCCGCGGCCGCGTTGACGATCGGTGCCGTCACAACGGCAATCTGCATGCCGCAGGCCAAGCCAGTGCTCGATTGGGTTGCCCATCCGGCGCCGCAGCTCGTTTCTACCATCATATATCGGTCGTGGTGAGTACAATCGTTGTTGGAGGAATGAGGCTGGAGTTCGGAAGCGTACCAGCAGCGATGAAAGTAGCGGCGGCCGCGAGAAGGGCGAGTGTGTCGAGCCCCCGCATGGCGTTGAAAGCAAATGTGGTCGTCGTCGGAGGACATGGCTGGTGTAGAATACAAACTATGTGATCGACCTCTAGCTCGAACGCAGCCTGTCAAGGTCAAGTGCAAAGTGTACTGAAGAGCAGCTGTGTCCATCCTGACTGCGAAACGCGGTTGGAATTTTCAAATGACCAGCCGATTGCGACATCGCGCGCGCTGATTGGGTCGGGAGGTATAGAGGGGGCCGTGGACCGACGCGGGCGTCCAGCGACAAGCGCGGTTTGTGGCGAGAAGCGCCTTCACAATCCACTCTTTGATCAGGTTGGAGGTTTGAATGCTCTTTTTGGTCAGCTTTATAGTCAACTTTTTGCCCGTTGCGCGACAGGGTTGCGTGGGACGAGATTTGATGCGAAAGCCATCACACTTCAAGGCAGGAGTACGATGGCAGACGGTGATTGGTGCGTTTGATGCTCGATTCGACGCATGATTGGCTTAAACATATACTTGACGTTTGTATCTGTATCGGTTTCCCTGGAGGTAACTGATTTCGGATTCCAGCAACATGCTCACGGCGCACCGGCGGAAGTCGGTCATCGTCCAGCAAATGGTATCGCGCTCGACGACACACCTAAGATCACAGTGTAAATGTATAGGCGGACTTTGTTCCGGTCACCGAGCTGCCAGACGATGTACATTGGTGGGAAGCCCGCGCCCGCGTCGTGCAGGAGTGGCTTCGCGCCAACCCCTTGCGCATCGGTCTTCCGGACGACGGGACCATCGAGGTACCGATATTATCATAAATCCATGCTTTGATCCTCGCTCGCCGCGTGCTTATAGACCATTACGCAGCAGCTCGCGCGTGGCGACAAGTACATTCACGTCCGCGTCAAGGCATGGAATCACATTGGTACGCACGCTCGTCTTCCTAACTGTGTCGATAAGTTTTTAACTTTTTCCCAGTCACGGAGCTGCAAGGGATTCCTGGTGTCTGTGAGAAGTTTGCCACGTTCGAGACCAGCCCCGAGCTGCCGATGGCGACCGTGGTCGTCGACGACGACGACGATAACGAGCAAGCAAGCCATGCCTCGTCGCCGCTGAGCGACACGACGACGGACGAGCCGGCGCAGATCGACGGTGTCGTGTCACTGCACCCGGCGAGTCCCTTTCGCGGCAAACTGCACCCGACCAAAGCCAAGTCGCTGCACGAACCCGCCGACGTGTCCGTCCTCGCAACCAATCAAACCGACAAGCCCGACGCGCCCCGGAAATCGATGGGTCAAATGTCCATGATGGAGCGCCAAGAAGAGTGGCTGCGCAAAAAAGCAGAAAAAGCCGCCGCTGAAAAGCAGCGCCAGTTGGACGAAGCCGAGAAGGAGCTCACGTTCCAGCCGAGTTTGGTCAAGAAACCCAAAGCACCCGACACGGACGGCGCCAGCTCGCCTCGCAAACTCCAGCGGTCCAAGTCGGCCGGGCGCGCCCGGAAATCCGCGGCGCTGTCCAAAGACAAGTCGATTGTCATGCTCAAACCTGGCGCCAAGTCGGCCACGTCGAAATCGCTCTTGGATTCCGTCAAGTCGGAGCTGGCCGCGTCGACGTCGATACCCGTCAAGACCCTAACCACGACAACCACCACCAGTGCCAAGCTCGATGTCGCGGCCGTGGCCGAGCGCACGGACGCCACGATTGCATACGTGGCGGCCGCCCTCGACACGATCAACAAGACGACACTCACGCCGTCCGTCGTCGTCACGAAAGACGCGCCCAAAGGCGATGTCGACGTCCGTGTGTCGCAGTTTGACGCATTGTCGAGCGACGTCAAAGGCCGGTTTCAGCTCCAGGACCCGGCGCTGTTCGATTTAACGTCCATTTACCGCAAAAAAGACAAGTACGCGCGCGTCGACGGCGTGTGCTTGCAGATGGGCCGGCGCGACGACACGCACGACGAGCAGTTGATTGCAGTCCTCTTTGATCGCGACAAGTTTACGAGTGAAGCGATGGCGCAAGCGTGGTTTAATGATCACAAGGCGCGTCTCCAGTCGTACATGTGATTTACAACGTATTTAATATCGAATACAACAGCACTTGACTAGTATGCAAGACGACCCTTAAGTCTACCTCCGCTGATAAATACAGGGAGTCGACCATTACTAGAAGGGTGGCAGCCCGATTCGCACGGTGCGAAAACTTTTGGGTGGCGTGGTTTGTGGTTTGCGGTCAAGGAAAAACGACATCCCAGAAAAAATAGAAGATTCATTGAAAAGACACAACGCATTCACATAGGTATATGTATCGTGGGCATTGATGTCTCCCTCCTAGAAAGTCTACTTGTGGCGTCAAAGCGTCGATCGGGATCGCATCGAACGTCCGTGCGATTTGCTAGGGCTAGGGATGGGCTAGGGTTCTTATTTACGAGCTCCAAGTGGAAAATCGAGTCCTCAATTACATGAATTAGAGTGTTTCCCATGGCGACGACGCGCGCGTAGGGGATGTGAATACACCTGGCTCGGTCGACTGCAGCCCGTGCACGTTCACGAGGTCCTGGATTCGATCTTCATTGGCTGCGTTGTAACGCCGATATTGCGGGCCAAAATTACCAAAAGGGTAGCCCAAACGCAGCGTGACATTGCAGCATGCTCCCAGCGTCGCCAGTAGGAACGATGCCGACGTCAGTGTAAGACTGCACGACGACACGTCGACCTTCAACGCGCGGCGGTTGCACTTCGAGGCGAGCGCGATGGCAAGTACGACAACGTCAACGTCCGTCAGTCCAGTGCCATACAGCGTCAGTGTCGTAAGACCACGCGCCATCCAGACAGGCAACGCACGCGCCAGGGCCAAGACACCTTCCTTCCCGAGCTTCGTAGAAGTGAAGTCCACCGACGTAAGATGGCGCGACGTCGAGAGCCACTGAATGATCGCCGGCACACTCTCCATGTGATCAAATTGAACTCCGTGCAGCGTGATGCTGGAGAGACGCGGCCAAGCGCCGATCTCGGTAATTGCTGGAAGAGTCCAGTTGTACAGGGTCACCGATTCGAGCGAAGTGCGCGTCACAAGAAAGTTCATGACGTCGTCCAAACGCATCGACGGATACCCGTTGTATCGGATGGAAACAATCTTGGCCTGGTCCAGCTTTCGCAGTAAACCTCCCGGGCCAATATCGTTCGGCTCCGAGGAATAACTCAAAGATAGCGTCGTGACGTGGTGCAAGGTCGTTGGCAACGCCACCAGCGCTGTCTGCACGTCCACGGCACGGTCCAGACGCAAGGTCGCCAGCGTCGAGCAGGCTTGGATCGCGATAGCCAGCGCCGTCGGGTCACTCACAGAGACGCAGTCGAGCGAGAGGGACGTTGCACGGGGTCCCTGAAGCCACAGTATTATGGCGGTAACGTCCAGCGCACCTGTCGCCGAGGTATTCACCGCGAGCGTGTGCAATCGCTGGGTTGGAACCGCGCCAAGCACGCGGCTCCAGCGAGTTGCGTTCCAATATTTTCGAACGTCACCGACTGGACGTTGACGCAGCGACCGAGCATATCGGGGATCAGGTCGGGCTGTACCTCGTGCTTCTTGATAATGACATTCGTGATGCGGTCGCCCCACGCATAGACAAAGGCGCTCAGGGCGCCAGACACGGACGGATCGACGACCAGCGTCACCGGCATCGTTGGCGGCAGCGTCGCATCCAGCCAATCGAGGGCCGTGAAGCCAGCGTCAATGTAGACACCGGCGAAAGCTGGCAGCGCAGCGATACCGAGGCGCGCGTACTGGATCGGAATCGTGGTCACGTGCACGACCGGCCAGTGGCAAGCGAGGTCAACGACAGCGCCGAGGTCTCGCAGCGCAATGAGCTCGGGCGGCAGCATCATCGGCGGCAACGCACCCAGCAAGGCGACAACGTCCTTCGCGCTCGTGGTCGTCTCCAGAATGGCGTAAAGCACGGCATTGGGTAAGCTCGGAAAGCTCGAGGTCTGGCGAGCGTCGACTCGCGTCATCATCTCCTTGTCTCGTGTTATTGGCGGTCGACGCGTGATGGAGGCGTCAAGATTGGGAGTGTTAACGGTCGAACAGTGCCAAGCTCGTTCCGTTGACCACGAGAGGGTTTTTGACCACGAAGCAGTTCCGTTGAATTCTTTTGCGAAGGCTGCAGGAACGTGAAATGCCTTTTCTCAGTTCCCAACCCAACTCTCAGGACCCGTTGTTTGATTTAAAGTTCCTCCAATGTTATTCCATTCAACGTCCATTTACCGCAAAAACGACAAGTACGCGCGCCTCGACGAAATGCGACGACCCGCACGAAGAGCATTGTAAGCCACTAGTTCAGGACTAGGCAGTCATTGTAAGCCACTAGTTTGGGACTAGGCTGTCAAGATGCACTATCGTGAGTCATCAACATGGATCAAGAATTCACATGGAATTACAACTCGGGTCTAACGATAGAGTACTGGGGTTGTTGACTCCTGTTGAATGACGTAGCTAGTGTTTGCGGCGAAATGCCATAGTGGTGACAATGCGAGGGGTGCAATTAAATCGTAAACAGATCACAGGTTACGTGGCCGTCCCAAGAGCAAAGGCTCCTTCTAGAGCGGTGGTTGTAGCGTTGAAACCTCGACCTTGATTGCACATTGGGCGGTGGGTGCCGAGGTAGGAGGTTGCAGCTTGCCGTGAGGTATGCGAGGCACGAGAGTGGAAAGGAAGAGTACATTATCCAGACATCCGAGTACAATCAGAAAATCCCTTTCCCAGAGGTCTAGAACCATCTCTTGGTCAGCTGGAGGATCGTGGTTCTCATACTCCCCCGCGTTCAGCCGAGCTGGATTTGTTCTATGGCTGTACGGATGGCCTCCTTGGCTTCTCAGATGCCGAGCTCTTTTTGCTTGGGGTATCGGGCTTGTCGTTGCAGAAGTCCGAGTTTGTCCGCGAGTCGATTGGGGGCTGCTTGTCGGCCATCGCTTCGTCGACGTCGTAGACGAGACCAGATCAATCTTGCCGACGAGGTAGTTGAGCGCCCGCATCACCTTGATGTTCGCGAGCTCCATGCGTGAGTACATGACAAGATACTGCAATGTCCCGGCGAGGCTTCGCTTCGCGTACAAAAGTGCGTCGTTGTCATCACACGTGCCGTAGACCACGTGGAGATACAAGTTCCGGTGCTGTGGCAGGTCGACGGGATAGATGACGGTGTTGCCGTTCTTCTGGATGAGACCGAGGGCGCACTTGTGCAGCGAGAACGTGAGCATCTTGCTGGTCACCTTGAACTTGGTTGCCAGGTCTCCCTTGACTGCACTCGTGCACTTGTCTTCGCCAAGGATGAGCAGGTCGTCCACGTAGATCGTGACAAAGACCTCGTCCAGTGACTCTTCGTTGTCTCCCCCATGATCTTCGTGCTGAGACCTTGATCCTTGGTGTAGTGTAGCGTCTTGCTCAGAGCCGCACACGACCAGGTGCACCGTGTAGTACTTGTTGTTGCGGTCGATCTTGATTTCGAGCTGCGATTTGTCGCCGTGTGCTTTGCTACGGCCGCACGATTAGTGATTTCAGCGAGCTCATCCATTGTATCTTCGTGGTCGCCGGCCTCATGGACCTCGGCTGACACTTCATCTTGATCGCCGGCCACATTGAGCTCGGTCGATTCTTGATGATTTTGGTGGTCGCCGGCCTCATGGACCTCGGTCGCCACTTGATCATCTTGATCGCCGGCCACATCGAGCTCGGTCGATTCTTGATCATCTTGATCGCCGGCCACATTGAGCTCGGTCGATTCTTGATGATTCTGGTGGTCGCCGGCCTCATGGACCTCGGTCGCCACTGGGTCATCTTGGTGGTCGCCGGCCTCATGGACCTCGGTCGCCACTGGGTCATCTTGGTGGTCGCCTTCTCGTTGCAGAACTCAACCGTGTTGTTGTCCTCCGAGATGTGTGCCATAAGGTCATGGTCCTCGCGCGTGCGGATCTGGCTCAGGATGTTGACTTGCGAGCTCTCGTCGTAGTTCATCTGGGTCCGGAGCGCGACCATACGAGTATTGGCAGCGTCTTGAACTGTAAATGTCGCTCGCCCGGCCCGTTGCGCCACGATCGACCCATCAAACCACATGACCTTGGCCGTGTCGTTGAGCGACTTGAAAACGAATATGTTGTTGCAAATGCTGCTCATCGCGCCACTTGCGTTGCGGCTTGTCGATGTAGACGACGATGCTGCCGCCGCCGCCTCCACGAGCACCTCGTCCGCGACCACGACCGCGACCACCGCGACCGCGACCACGGCCGCCTTGGTTGACCGAGTACGAGCTCTTGAACTTGACAAAGGGGAGATCTTCCTCAGCTTATTCTTCGATCTTTAGCTTCTTCTCGACACCACCATTGCCACCATCTTGGCCGCCTTGCGGGCTGTGCCAGCAGTTGTAGGCCGTGTGACCGCGCTTGCCGCAGCAGTCGTACATGATCTTGCGCTTCTCGATTCGATAGTTGTCGTTGAGGTAGCCGAGCGCATTCGCGCTCTGGAGCATCTCATTGATCGAGTGGGCGTTCAGTGCGTTCGCCTCCTGCGTTGACGTGTCCGTTGTGCTGGCGCTCTTCTTCCAGTCATCGCCTGCAGGCGACTTCATCATGTCTTCGTACTTGACGAGCAGTGCATGCGCAATGATATCGAGCGTGACGTCCTTGTCGTCCAAGTGTACGAGGTCCGTGCGTACGTTGAGAAACGAACTGTGGCGCTGAGCAGCGTCGACTTGAGCATGCCATCGGGCATTTGTCCGTTCTGGCGCATACGAAGCACGAGCTCCTTCTTCTTGAAATCGGCGAGGAACTCGTCCAACGTCTGCTGCATCGGGTCAAACCTCAAATCGATGAGGGCCGACACGTCGGCGCTGGACTCGATGTGACGGCGCCGTGCAAACTTGTTCTCGAGATACTCAAACTTCTCCGAGGCTCGATCGAGATGTAGGACTTGCAACTTGACGTCACTCGGCAGCGACTTCATAATCGCAGTGTTGGCCTTCATGTCATCTTGCATGTACTCGTGATGCTTGCGCAGAGCCATGATACCAGGTACCTCTCGCTCGCCCGTGACGAGCTCCCAGAGCTCGTTCTCCAAAAAGATCGTCTGAAGCATCCCTCGGTACACCATGTACTCGCCATCAACGAGCTCGTCGAGCGGCGTCATCCGTAGATGTCGAGCGACAATGGCCTTCCGAGCATCGCGTTCCGCCTTCGTGGACGACGTAGATGTCACAGAGCTTGCTGATTCTGAGCTGGACGAACTGGACGAGCTGGACGAGCTGGACGAGCTGTCATCGTCGTCGGGCTTCTTGGCCTTCTTCTTGGCCTTCTTCTTGGCCTTCTTGGCCTTCTTCTTGGCCTTCTTCTTGGCCTTCTTGGCCTTCTTCTTGGCCTTCTTGGCCTTCTTCTTGACCTTCTTGGTGTTCTTCTCCTTGGCCGAGCGCGACTCGTCGTCCGAGTCGCTGCTGGACCCCGCAGGGTACTGATGCTTGTTAGCGCTTCCTTTCTGAACCCCCGTAGTTGGGCTCATAACCTTGCAGCTTGCCGTGAGGTATGCGAGGCACGAGAGTGGAAAGGAAGAGTACATTATCCAGACATCCGAGTACAATCAGAAAATCCCTTTCCCAGAGGTCTAGAACCATCTCTTGGTCAGCTGGAGGATCGTGGTTCTCATAGGAGGGCTAGGGCTAAGTTCGTGGCTTGCACCGTGGTGATAGTAGGTAGGCGTGCTTCTGCATCGTTCTACACGGATGAGTTGTTTTTTCATGGCTGCTACCGATGCATAGAGAACGCAACGCTCGAGCTGGACAGAGAGTCATCGACCTTCGAGGGGACGAGAGAGAAGCCGCTGGGTTCGCCACCGCCTAAAGCACCATGTTGCATGTGCATATGCTGGTCCATTGCATCATAGTTCTGAACTAGTACGGTTGGAGGAATCGAAAAAGACACAGCAGAAAGGATCGCATTCGATGGGTTAGAGAGATGGCGACGTGTACTCGCCGCACCCAGAACAGGTATCCTTAAATTGTAGCTTGTGAACGCTCACAAGCTTTTTGAGTTTCTCGATCTCTTGCAGTCGCTGGTGCTGAAATCGGACTTTGTGAGGCATCTCTGAAAGAGCAAAAGGACCGGTCGCAGTCAGCGTCACATTGCGACTCGCACCCAGCGCCGTCAGAAGCGCGGATGCCGACGCCATCGTCAGTGAATTTCCCGTCAAGTGGATCGTGAGGTGGCGGCGGTGGCCCTTCGACGCAAGCGCAAGCGCAAGACGCCAGCGTCAGCGTCTCCGAGTCCGGTGTTGTCGAGATGCAGCGTCTGCAGGCCACGCGCCATCCAGACAGGCAATGCACGCGCCAGGGCAAAGACGCTCTCGCTGCCGAGCTTCGTACCACAGAAATCCACCGACAAAAGACAGTGTGAGGTCGAGAGCAGCTGAATGATCTTGGCCACATCCCCCACAACATCAAAGTGAAGTCGACGCAGCGTGATGCTGGTGAGGCACGGACAAGCACCGGTCATGGAAGCTGCTGGTAGCGTCCAGTTATCCAGGTAAAACGACTTGAGCGAGGGGCACATGCCAAGGACGCCGATGACGTCGCCCAATAAACGAGCTTGGTAGCGATTGCTCTGGACCGACAAAGACAGCACCTTGGTTCGGTCGAGCTTTCCAAGGAGGACATCGATGGGAACGTCATCCTGAGCCGCCGATTGGCGCAACGAGAGCGCCGTGACGTGATGCAAGGTATCTGGCGACGACACCAACGCTGCTTGCACGTCGAAGGCATTGTTCAGCGTCAGCGAAGAGAGCGTCGAGCAGTTTTGGATCGCGCTCGCCAGCGCCGTCGGGTCACTCACAGATGCGCACGAAAGCAAAAGCGACGCTGCACTGGGTCCTTGAAGCCATGCGACGACGACGGTGACATCCAGTGCATCTCGAGCCGCGACCGTCACCTTGAGCGTGACCAACTGTGTTGTCCGAAGCACAGACAAGTAGGTCGCTGCGGCGACTGGCGTAATCGTGTTCTGGATCGTGCCCGAAATCGTCACAGATTGGACGTTGACGCAGCGCGACAAAATGTCGGGGATCGGGTCGGGATTGACTTGGTGGCCCTTGATAATGACAGCGGTGATGCGGTCGCCCCAGTTGTACGCAAACGTCGTGAGCGTGCCAGGCACGGACGGGTCCACGACCAGCGTCACGGCCTTTTTGGGCGTAGCGTCGAGCCACGCGAGGGTCGTAAAGCCTGCGCCAATGTTGACACCGGCGAAAACTGGCAGCGCAGCAATACCGAGGCGCGCGTACTGGATCGGAATTTTGGTGATGTGCACGACCGGCCAGTGCTCTTCGAGGTCGACGACAGCGCCGAGGTCGCGGAGCGCGATGAGCTCGACGGGTAGCGTCGACGCCGGCAGCGCGTTGAGCAAGGCGGCAACGTCTGCCCCGTGCATGGTCGCCTTCAAAATGGCGTGTAGCACGGTACTTGGTAGGCTCATCCAGCTTGTGGCCTCGCGTGCACAGACTCGCTTTGGCTTCTTGTCTCCTTCCATCGTTAGTCGGCACGTGGTGGTGGCGTCAAGATTGCGACTGTGATCGCTGGAACCGCTTTGGGCTTGCGTCCTCTGTGCGTTCCGTTGACACTGAGAGGGTTTTGGACCACTTGGAAATTTCTTGCTTGGTAAAGCCTTTAATTTGGTCAGAGCGGTCCCCTTCCGTCAGCGACCTGCTGTTGTGAGTGTGATTTTCGATCCAACGAGACGCTATGGAGGGTGATCATGGGCCGCGCATCGCTATACGAACATGCATCGATCCTCGCTCACCACAGCTCAATAGACCATGACGCATCAGGCTGCTCGAGGAACAAGTGCATGCTGCTCTAAATAGGCAACGCATACGTACCGTCCATCTTTATGCCCAAAAAGGTTCAAGTCGGCGACGTCGCAGTCCAAGCACATCCGTCCGTTCACGATCTCAACGCAATTGCACACCGTTGGTTAGCCTCATGGCGCTCCCCACAACATGGCTGGCATCGTCGAGACGGTTGGGCGTCCGACGCTGCGTCGCCCAACCATTGACGCGGTCCTCTGGAGCGAGGAAGGACCGCATCACTAGCACCCAAAAGCCTTCGAGCACCAGGCTCATCGCCAATGATATGTGCTACGGGACGCACAGCATAACGCCAATGAGCTCTCAAGCCTGCAGACGTCAAGTTGTAACCTCGTCGCAGGAGCTCGTACCACGAATTCAGACAACGACGGCGCGCAAGGATCATCGTAGGTTTCGGCAACGCCGTCCTTCTGCTATCATTGCACCCTAGATCAGCTCCTCGGTCGCATCAAGGATACGCTGTACGACGATATGCTAGGCTATTAGGGTAAGCGCATCCAACAGTAATTACAAATGGAAAATGCCGTGTTCAATGTCCAAATGAAGTAGAGTGCATAATATCATGGCAACGAGGTGCGAGGGGGCGTCGTAAACGTGCCAGGCGCAATGTACTCGAGCTTGTGCACGCGCACGAGGACTCGGAGTACGTCTTTCTCATCGCAAGGTTCGTCCAGAGCCAGCAAGTGCGAAGCAACCGAGGCCGAGCCAAAACGCAGCGTGACATCGTGGCATGTCCCCAGTGTCGTCAGGAGCACGGCCACCGACGCGATCGCGAAGTCATTTGCTTGCAAGTCGATCGTCAGTGACCGTCGGTTGCGACCCGAGCCGAGGGCGAAAGCAAGCACGACAGCGTCACCATCCGTTAGCCCCGTGGCGTCCAGACCGAGCGTCTTGAGACCGCGCGCCATGCAGACAGGAAGCGCACGTGCAAGCGCCGCAAAGCCATCGTTGCCGAGCATCGTGGAACTAAAGTCGAGAGACGAGAGACGGTGCGAGGTCGAGAGCCACTGCACAATCTTGGGGATGCTCTCCTCCATGTGATGGACTTGAACGTGACGCAGCGTGAAGCTGGTGAGGCGTGGACAAGCACCAGTCGTGGGCATCGCGCGAAGGCTCCAGTTATCCAGGGTCACCGACTCGAGCGAGGGACGCGTGCATAGGTCGCTCATGACGCCGCGCCAAAGCATTTCACGGCCGCCAGTCTTTCGAAGGGAAAAACTCAAGGCCCGGCCCATCTTTTGCAGCAGAACTTTCATGTAAACGTCGTACGCACCGTAATCGTTGCTCAGAGCGAGTGTCGTGATGTGGTGCAAATTGTTTGGAGCCGTTGACAAGGCTTCTTGAACGATGGCGACACCGTCCAGAGTCAGCGAAGACAATGTTGAGCACGCTTCGATCGCAAAAACCAGCGCCATCGGTTCACGCACCGAGTGACATGCGAGTGAGAACGACGTTGCGTCCGACCCTTGCAACCATGCGACGATGGCAGACGCGTCGATGCGGTACTTCGCGACCACACGCACCTTGAGTGTACGCAAGTGTTGCGTTGGCATCGCCGCCAAGTGGGCAGCAGCGGCGACTCGTGTCTCGGCACTCTCGATCGTCACAGACTGGACGTTGACGCAGCGCGTGAGGATCTCAGGGATCGGCATTGCAGAGAGAAAGGTACAGGTGCAGCAAACATAACAAAACACTAACGTGGCCATCGTATGCGTCGGCACCTCTACTGGCGAGATAGCTGTGGCGCTCGAGAGTTGGCGGGCTATTCTAGGGCTAGGCCTGCAATACGCAAGCAGCGAGTCGGGAGATGTAGCGTTCGATTGTACTAGTATAAATTAGAGAGCGTGTCATGGCGATGACGTGCAGGGTGGCGATGTGAGCGTGCTAGGCGCAGTGAATTGGAGCTGGTGCATGTGCACGACCTCGCCGAGATCTCCTTCCTTGGACTGTCGGTCTCGAACCACCAAGCCCAACAAATATAGAAGATACCCCAATTCGAGAGTGACGCCGCGGCATGCACCCAGCATCTTCAACAGCAAATGTACTCACGCGACCGTGAGCGGATTAGCATCCAGGCTGATCGTCAGTGACCGGTAGTTGCATTTCGAGGCGAGTGCGACAGCGAGGACGACAGCATCGTCGCCCTTGAGTTCCGTTCCCCACAGTTGCAATGTCTTTAGGCCGCGCGCCATCCAGACAGGTGCTCACGCGCCAGTGCCAAGACGCCTTCATTGCCGAGGACGGTGCCACTAAAGTCCACAACCGTGAGGCAGCGCGAGGTCGAGAGCCAGCGCACGAATGCAGGCACGCTCTCACTCTCTTCAAACTGAACGTGAAGCAGCATGAAGCGAGCGAGATGCGGGCAAGCCCCAGCAGTTGTCGACACCGCTGGAAGTCTCCAGTTGACAAGGTGCACGGATACGAGCGAGGGACACGTCATAAAGACGCTGGCGACATCGTGCAAGCGAACCGCTTTGGCATTGTTGTTTTGGAGTGCAAACGAGACAACCTTGGCTCGATCGAGCTTTCCAAGGAGCACATGCGTGGGCACGTTATACAGACCCGACGATTGGCGCAACGAGAGCTCGGTAATGTGGTGCAAGGTCGATGGCAATGTCACCAACGCCGCCTGGACGTCCAAAACACCGTCCAGACTCAAGTGCGACAGCGTCGAACAGGCTTGGATCGCGCTGGCCAGCACCGTCGGGTCGCTCACAGAGGCGCAGGCGAGAGAGAACGACGTAGCACGGGGTCCCTGAAGCCAGAAAGCAATGGCGGCGACGTCCAATGCGTCCAATTGTGCCGTGTGGGCACTCACCTTGAGCGAAACCAAGTGCTTCGTCGGAAGGACTGCCAAGTACGCAGCTGCGGCGACTCGGATCTTGGTGTTCTCAATCGTAACACGCGAGACGTTGACGCAACGTCCGAGAATGTCGGGGATCGGGTCCGGGTGCACCTCATGACCCTTGATTATGACATGGGTAATGCGATCGCCCCAGTTGTACGCAAAGGAGCTGAGCACGCCCGAGACAGTCGGGTCCACGACAAGCACCACGCGCATCTTTGGGGGCAAGGTGGCATCCAGCCACGCCAGCGCGGCAAAGCCAGGTTCAATGTAAACGCCTTGGAGCGCAGGTAGCGCTGCCACACCAAGGTGCGCATGCTCGATGGGAATCTCGGTCACGCGCACGGCCGGCCAGTGGCGAGCGAGGTCGACAACGGCACCGAAGTCTCGGAGTGCAACCAGCTCAGGTGGTAGCGTCAACGGCGGCAGTGCGCTGAGAAGGGCGGCAACATCCTTTCCTTGCTTGGTCGCTCGAAGAATGACGTGGAGAACGGCACCTGGCAGGCTTGACAAGCCAGTGTTCTGGCGCGTACAGACCCGGTGCGTCTCATTGTCGCTGGCCATCAAGGATTGGCAATTGGCGGCGCTGTCAAGATTGATACTGCCAACTTTGAGATTGCTTTGGGCTACAAACAAGCTCCGCCCGTTGACCACAAAATGGGTTGAGGACCACGAAATTTCTTGCTCAAAAATTCAAATGCGAGCTCGTTTCGCGTCGAAGCTCACACTAACATTCCAACAACAAAAAACTCAAAGACTATTCTATCAGAACGATTAACGACCCCTTTCAAAAACTCAGAACATCGTCTCTACCGCGACGATACATCGCTTATGGCGTGCGGCTGGCAGTACGGATGCTGCAGTACCGTGGCCATGGACGGACGCAGCGCCGGGTCTGCGACCAAGAGCAGCGCCAGCATCTCGACAACGTCGCTTGGCAATGACAGTCCCCACGCGCGGACGAGTGTCCGGATACCAACGCGCTGGAGAAAGCCAAACACTTCATCACCCTTAGACGACGATTCGACGAGCGGGACGCCAGTGAGCAGCATCCAGAGCACAATACCGAGGGACCAGACGTCGACGGTCGCCGCGCTGTAGTCGCCACTGGTGTGCATCTCGGGCGCCATGTAGTAGCTCTTCCCGACTGGGTGTGCAGCCGTTGCTGCGAGCGGCGTCGCGAGGCCAAAGTCGCCAATCTTGAGCTTGCCGTTGGCATCGACAAAGATATTCTCGAGCGAGAGATCGCAGTGGGCGAGGCCGCAGCTATGGATGGCCGCGAGACCACGCGCAATTTGCATGAAATACTGCTGTGCGAGCTCGGGCGTGCACTTGTGCATGGGAAGGTCATGCAGGTGGTTGTACAGATCGCCTTTGGCGCAGTGCTCGAGAAGGAGGTAGTGGTGCGTGCGCTTGCGATCCATGTGGCTGCCGTAGCAGCGCAGGATGTGGTTGGATGTCGCTGCCGCCTTGGCTTGAAGAATGTCGTAGGCGCGCACTTCGCTCGCGATGGCGGCGTGTGTCGAGCGCGAGAGGCGCGTGCGCTTGATGACGCACATGGATGCGCGGTCGGTGTCGTACGCCAGCAAGACGGCGCCGTCCGACGTGGTTGCCAGCGTCGAGGTCTTGACAAAGCGTTGCATGTTGTGTGGGAACGAATGGAAAATGAGCTGAAGCGTCGGTGGTATGACCGACGCTCACGAGAGAGAGAAAGGATTACGAGTGTCACGTCGTGTGTGGTAAAAAATATAGAAAGTGCGACCCTTCGGTTACATACCGCAGGAAACGGTTACTTTACCAATCAGAAGCCGCAGCGCTTAAAGTTTGTGGGAATGACTGACCGAGGCGGCTTCTCGCGCAGTACAATTTGTGGCTGACATGAGCTATTTATATGCACCCGTCGAGCTAGTGGACGTCCTACAGCGCTCGTGAGGCAGGCCGGTGCGTCAAGCGAGCCTGCAATTGCAATTTGATGAACGACAAGATGCTGGGTGCGCCATCCAGTAGCAAACTAACGGTACAAAAATGGATGTTGAAGCAATCAACGACATCGTGCTCTGCAGAACGTGCAGCGAATCACTTCCAGCGCCAGTCCGGCATGAGCGAAACATACAGTGATCACCGTGCGGGACATTCGGGGCGTAAGAATAGTCGCGCCAGTGAGTATTACGGTATTGCAATCCAGCTATCATGGTCCGCTCGATACCTTTCTCTCGGCCGTTTTCAAGCTGTCGCAGAGTGCCGTTTCGCCAGCAGCCAATGGCGTTGCGATTCGTGCTCGAGGGCTTTCCTGAATCATTATTCTCGTGCGCCAACGCAGGAATACACCTGGTGATTTTGTGGTTCTCACGATCTCGCCTCCACCAACTCGTGTCGACCTCTACCAAGCCATGTCATGGTTGACCGCGGCCGATCTTTGAATGGTAGTCCGGCTATTTTCGGCGGTGATCCAGCCCGTCCCGCTCATGCGATACACTGCCCGCCATGATCACTGTTCCCTTCGCTCCATCGCACCTTTTAAAACGGAAAATATATACCGTGCACAAACCACCGGTCAGCCCACAGGCAAAGAAGGCGCAAGCACCAAAACATGTTCGTCAATACAGCTCGAACGAACTAGTGTGAGATGGAAAGAACGCACTGGGAATGCTAGCGAATCTCTCCTTTGGCATACGTACGAGCTTACTTGTCCGCTGGGTTCGGTTTCAAAAGATCGCAGCAAAGAGATGTGTAACTGCCGGTGATCACAGCCGATGTCAATGCACTGTCATCCGGATACATGTGGTTGTATCCGGAAGGTCTACCTAGGCCGCAGCATCGCTCTCTCATCGAGTGTCCTATACAGGCACGTTCGATGCACTTTAGTTGCTCAAGCATAACACGTGCAATGGAGATTGTTGTCTCTCGAGATTAGCAATCGCGTCATTCGACCTTCCCATGTCGTTCGAGTCGCGGACCATCACGGCGAGCGTGCTCTTCATTATGCAGATCCCCAGTTCCACGGCAAGCGAAACGAGCGCACCGTAGGACGACACCCATGTTGCTGCTTGGCGATGGACATAACAACTCACGCCAACAAATGTGCAGTACCGCTGGCAGTACCGGTACGAGTAGCGATCGGCAAACCGGACCTCGTCACGTTGCTCTTACAGAAGAACTCTCGTGGCATAGCTCTTGTAGCCTTTCGAGAAGCGGTCGCCCTGAACCAAGAAAACTTGCGCTCCTCTTCTACCTCTGTACGAAGTACAACGAACCAGTGCATTGGCGCATCGCTCTCCAAGCCACCAACCTCCAACACGACATGATCGATTACGTTGCACCGACGCACGATCTTCGCCTCAGCCGAGACAGCGTGCGTGCAACGACGCCACAGGCGTCACATCAAAGGTTAGCCTCCCCGACGAACACGCTCGCGTAAATAGCGTACTACTCTGTAGGTGCGTCGCGTCTATCTATCCATGTATCTCTAAATCCCTTTCCATCCATCCATCTACTTCTCCACCAGTATCGACATGGGACGCCATGATGCCACGTGGGACCGACAACTCGAACTCGCGTACCGGTATCTGCGTGGACTAGGTAGCATTCAGGGCCGTTGGTCAGCGCAGACTTGACGCGCCACGACGCAGCACCGTTCCTGTTGGGATCTTGTGACGCTCGACTCGGATTGGGGCTCTGGCGCGATTATAAGCCAATCCAAAGCCGATTCCACATTCAACGGTATGTCAATCGTTGTATTGCAGCCAATGGCATCGCTCCATCCCGCGAATCACGCCGCCTCCCGCTGCCACCTCATTCTCCCGGTACTATGTGTTTGAAACTCGTATAAAACACGTCACGCGTTTCATATTTCAAATCCGATCCAGCGGCGCACGACGCAAGCCCGAGACCATGGTCTGCCTCGGCGTCCTCACGAGCGCGTCGCTCCTGCCGCTCGTCATCGCCTACCAAGAGGGCGTTAGCCAAGACGATTACATCCTCACGCGCCTCGGCCACCGCCCGCCGGACGGCGACCTCGGGCCTGTGCACGCGGTCATGGCACCATGGCTCGATCGCGTCGACTTTCGCTTCGTGCCTCAGCTGTGCCCAACATTGCTGCTTAGTTACGCGCTCGAGTATGGCCGCGTGGATCTCTTGCGCGAGCTCGTAGCGACGAAGACGCTGTGCATCGCCGGCGGACGCTGGACGCTCCACTACGGGGCGTGGCGCCGCTGCGTGGGTAAGCACCGTCATTTGCGCCAACACTACAGCACCGACCACCGCGGGAATGTCTGCAACTCCTGTTCCTACGGAAAGACTGGTAGCGGTACCATTTCCGGCGCCGTGCGTCACCTTGTAGTCGCGGCCTGTCTCGGCGACCACGTCGACTTGCTACGTTTTGCCATGGAAAAATGTCAGACTGAGCCTGCCGACAGTCGTAGCGATTGCGCTGCGTGGCGGTCGGCTCTGCATCGTGCAGGACCTCTTGGAGCAACGCGTGGTCGCCGCCTTCAGAGCCCACCACACTGGGCATGCAGTCGCGAGAGGCAGCACGGACCTCGTGGCTTTCCTCTTGAATCGCTGCTCCCACGGCATGATCGCAGAGGCATTCGAGCAAGCTAGCGTCCAGAACCAGTTTGCGCTCTTGCAGTGGCTCTGCACCACGTACAACGAGCTACGGTACTGGCGCATCGCTCTTAAAATCGCTGTTGCCAACCTCCAACATGACGTGATCGCGTACTTTGCAACGACGCACGACCTCCGCCCACGCCGATCGAAGCAGCGCGCGCGCAACGACGCCACCAGTGCGGCGACAAGCCCGCGCTACTAAGCCCTTGGTAGAGCCCAAGACGTACAGTATCTATCAATCATTTATCAACTTATCAATCGATCAACCTATCAATCCATCAAGAATCTATCTCGTGTCATTGATCGGGAAGCTATACAGCTGAACCTCAAGGAACTATGCCAACCCAGGTGAGCTCATCGACCGCACCGCGTGCCAACCCGACTGTTTGACGCCTTTATTAGCCAATCGGATGCGAATAGCGCCTTGTAAGACATGCTATTCGCTGCTTTTAAACCAATGGCATCGCGCGATTGGGCGAACTACGCCGCCACGTCGTTGGCGATTCGGGTCTAGGTGATCTCAATCGTACAATTTGTAGCACGCGAGACGAAATTTCTTGCTCAAAAATTCAAATGCGAGCTCGTTTCGCGTCGAAGCTCACACTAACATTCCAACAACAAAAACTCAAAGACTATTCTATCGGAACGATTAACGAATTCTTTCGAAAACTCAAAACCATCGTCACTACCGCGACGACACATCGCTTATGGCGCGCGGCTGGCAGTACGGATGCTGCAGTACCGTGGCCATGGACGGACGCAGCGCCGGGTCTGTGACCAAGAGAAGCGCCAGCATCTCGACAGCGTCGCTTGGCAATGACAGTCCCCACGCGCGGACGAGTGTCCGGATACCAACGCGCTGGAGGTAGCCAAACACTTCATCAGCCTCAGACGACGACTCGACGAGCGGGACGCCGGTGAGCAGCATCCAGAGCACGATACCAAGGGACCAGACGTCGACGGTCGCCGCGCTGTAGTCGCCACTGGTGTGCATCTCGGGCGCCATGTAGTAGCTCTTCCCGACTGGGTGTGTAGCCGTTGCTGCGAGCGGCGTCGCGAGGCCAAAGTCGCCAATCTTGAGTTGACCATTGGCATCGACAAAGACATTTTCGAGCGAGAGATCGCAGTGCGCGAGGCCGCAGCTATGGACGGCCGCGAGACCAAGGGCGATGTGCATGAAATACTGCTGCGCGAGCTCGGGCGTGCACTTGTGCATGGGCAGATCTTGCAGGTGGTTGTACAGATCGCCTTTGGCGCAGTGCTCGAGGAGGAGGTAGTGGTGCGTGCGCTTGCGATCCATGTGGCTGCCGTAGCAGCGCAGGATGTGGTCGGATGTTGTCGCCGCCTTGGCTTGAAGAATGTCGTAGGCGCGCACTTCGCTCGCGATGGCGGCGTGTGTCGAACGCGAGAGACGCGTGCGCTTGATGACGCACATGGATGCGCGGTCGGTGTCATACGCCAGCAAGACGGCGCCGTCCGACGTGGTTGCAAGCGTCGAGGTCTTGACGAAGCGTTGCATCTTGTGTGTGAAAATTGGAAAATGAGCCGAAGCGTCGGTGGTGTGACTGACGCTTACGAGGGAAAGGATTGCGAGTGCCACGTCGTTTGTGGTAAAAAATATAGAAAGTGCGACTTCTCGGTTACGTCCCGCAGGAAACGGTTACTTTACCAATCAGAAGCCGCAGCGCTTAAAGTTTGTGGGAATGACTGACCGAGGCGGCTTCTCGCGTAGTACAATTTGCTGCTGAAATGAGCTATTTATATGCACCCGTCGCGCTAGTGGACGTTCTACAGCGCTCGTGAGGCAGGCCGGTGCGTCAAGCGCGCCTGCAATTTGATGTACGACAAGATGCTGGGTGCGCCATCCCGTAGCAAACGAACCGTACAAGAATGAATGTTGAAGCAAGCAACGACATCGTGCGCTGCAGAACGTGCAGCGAATCGCCTCCAGCGCCAGTCCGGGGGACGATGGACATGAGCGAAACATACAGTGATCACCGTTCACCGTGCGGGACATTCGGGGCGTAAGAATAGTCGCACCAGTGAGTATTACGGTACTGCAATCCATCCATCATGGTCCGCTCGATACCTTTCTCTCGGCCGTTTTTCAAGCTGTCGCAGAGTGCCGTTTCGCCAGCAGCCAATCGCGTTGCGATTCGTGCTTTAGGGCTTTCCTAAATCATTATTCTCGTGTGCCAACGCAGGAATACACCTGGTGATTTTGTGGTGCTCACGATCTCGCCTCCACCAACTCGTGTCGACCTCTACCGAGCCATGTCGTGGTTGACCGCGGCCGATCTTTGAATGGTAGTCCGGCTATTTTCGGCGGTGATCCAGCCCGTCCTGCTCATGCGATACACTGCCCGCCATGATCACTGTTCCCTCCGCTCCAACGCACCTTTTAAAACGGAGAATATATACCGTGCACAAACCACCGGCCAGCGCACAGGCAAAGAAGGCAAACGCACCAAAACATGTTTGTCAATACAGCTCGAACGAACTAGTGTGAGATGGAAAGAACGCACTGGAAATGCTAGCGAATCTCTCTTTTGGCGTACGTACGAGCTTACTTGTCCGCTCGCTTCGGTTTCAAAAGATCGCGGCAAAGAGATGACATCTCTTTGCCGCGACAGTTACACATTGTGTAACTGTCGGTGATCACAGCCGATGTCACTGCACTCGACAATCATCCGGATACATGTCGTTGTATTCGGAACGTCTACCAAGGCCGCAGCATCCCTCTCTCATCGAGTGTCCTATACAGGTACGTTCGATGCACATCAGTCGCTCAAGCATAACACGTGCAATGGAACTTGGTGTCGTCGCTCGAGATTAGAAATGGCGTCATTCGACCTTCCCCTATGTTGTTCCAGTCGCGGACCAAGTATAGCGTGCAACGATTGTAGTTGCACGGTGCAACTACAATCGTATTGTGTAAACTGGATAATCCAGTTTACACAATGACTAAATAAACTTTACTGTTGCTTCTTACGTAAGAAGTCTCTGCCTCGTGCGCCTGCATCGGACTCGAGCAGTTCCGACAGGTTATGAGCCCAAGGAAGGAATTGCTCTCTCGTGCAGCTCACAACGGCAGCATGCAACACCACAAGCGACACGTCCCCACACTCATCCCCACTCCCGACTCCACTCGTGGCGCACTCACGCCGTCGCCCGACACACCAACCAGATCGGCGCCGTCGCCTCACACACCGGCCAAGATGCTACAACTGTCGACTGGATCTACAGCCCAAGTGATCCAACAGCTACAAGCGCACGACGCGCACGGCGACGCGCGCGTGCTGGTCACGGTTGGTAACATCAAGGAGGACCTACCTATGCGCCCAGCGCACAAGAAGCCCATCGCTCCACAGCGAGGCTCACTTTTGAAAGTGCGAGCGCGACAACAACGTCCAGAACAAGCCCCAGCGTGTCTTTGACGAACTCTGCGCCAACATCCTCACGGATGATCGATCTCCATGGACCGCAACCGCGGGCAACACGATCAAGGTACTCAAGGAAGGCCGCAAGAAGAACTTCGCTCTGGCACTTGCCGCCAGCCGTGCCATCGACACCAAGAACAAGCTTGCTGTCCACGCCCAACAGACCATGAAGACGTCTCCCGTCCCGACGAGCCCAGCACGGGTGCCGAACTCGTGCTCGATGATGTCCTCCACTACGTACCCTGACGTGCCCATGCAGCTCATTTCCACGTCGCTAGTCGACGACAATGGTTTTTACCAGCTCTCGCATGGTGGCAAGCTGCTGGTCATGACGGGTTACCCGACGCTGACCGCAAGTACGAAGGTCGGCTCACTCTGGCCGCTCGACTGCACGGCGCCCAAGCCAACGACCGGCAACACGATCGCACGGCCGGCGTGCAGTATGCTCGTACACGTGCCGACTGCCTCGTCGTACATGGACGCAGGACTCGGCGCGGCTCTTTGGGCATCGTGAACATCTTGATCGGTTTGGACATCTTGACCATCTTGGACATCTTGATCGGGCGCCTCGTCACATGGGACGGGCGCAGATGGCACGTCGTCGTCGGACTCGTCCGGAATGGTGGTCGGGATCGGCAACGGTTCGCGGTCGAGCGGTTGTTGAAGCATAGTCTCGACACGTAGATAGTGTTAGCCAGCGTCTCTCCAGCGTAGAACAGTAGAACAGTAGAACAGTAGCAAGAGCCGTCATATCTAGAACGATAGCCTAGCCAACGGAGCCAGTCGGCTCCTTACTTGCCCTTTAACCACTAATCTACCTCATCCTCTTCGGGTAAGTCGGGCTCCTTCCTCACCGCGGGGTTCCGCCCCTTTCAACAGCGGTATGTGGTCGGCCGTAAAGGTCTGCGACGGGGCACGTTTGCGCGGGTTCGTCGGGACGGGAGACATCTTCATGGTCTGTTGGGCGTGGACAGCAAGCTTGTTCTTGGTGTCGATGGTACGGCTGGCGGCAAATGCCAGAGCGAAGTCCTTCTTGCGGCCTTTCTTGAGTACCTTGATCGTGTTGCCCGCGGTTGCGGTCCATAGAGATCGATCATCCGCGGATGATACCACTGGATTATCCAGTTTACATAATGAACCAATACACATACACTGTACAGTTTGCTCCTTACGACACAAGTCTCTGCCTCGTGCGCCTGCATCGGACTTTAGCAGTTCCGAAACAGTTCCTAGGAAGCGACACGAGCGCACCGTAGCACGACACCCATGTCGCTGCTTGACGATGGACGTAACAGTGGGCGCCGTGGTGGGGCTAGGTCTGGGGTTAGGGCTGTTTTCCTCACATTTAATTTGAACAGCGATATAATATTGCATTGGGTATGAATTAGCGCACCTGTACATGCCATGGCGATGAGGTGCGAAGTCGCGACGTAAACGTGCCATCCGCGAGCAATGCACTGGAGCTTACACACACGAACGAGGTCTTGGAAAACGCATGTCTCCTTGACCGGTCGGTCAAGAAAAAGCATGCGCGCAACAATACATATCGAAGTCGGCCCAAAGCGCTATGTGACGTCGCGCCAAGCACCCCGCGTCATCGGCAGCACGGCCACCGCCGTCGCGTGCCGAGAAGCTCCTCGAGTGGCTCGATCTCGGGCACCTCCTCTCGCTCTTCCTCAGTGTCGATTGCCTTCTGCTTTTTCGTCCGCACGCATCCAACAACTTGTTTTCTGGTCCGACTTTGACACAACCTCCAACGCCCTTGACGCTTCAACATGGACCTCGGTGTCTCGCTGCTGCCAGCGCCGATATCACTCAACACGGCCGCTTGACGCCGCGCTGCGTTCGGGGACCTCATGAGATCGATCAATCCCGCCTGGGGCTGCACACCGATTCAACAACGAGCGAAGCAGACATCGCAAGCCTTCGCTGCCTCTTAACCGTCCATATATTGTCATGTACCTTCCAACGTCCGATTGCTTTGTCGCCTTGGCTCGGCGGTGGTCGGTCGCCCACACGTCAGTTAGAGACGCGCGCGGTCACTCGCTCTATGCAGTGCATTGATATTCCCTACACATGTTTGTAGTATAGTCCTAGCGTCTACCGCACGCTAGACAACCCTCGCTCAGCGACCAATATCCATCTTCCAAAAGCAACACCCAAACAATATGTTTAAAACATGTTTTATACCCATCGTGTACCGCTGTTCGTTTTATTCAAATCCGATCCAATCCAGCGGCGCACGTCGCAAGCCCGAGACCATGGCCTGCCTCGGCGTCCTCACGAACGCGCAGCTCCTGCCGCTCGTCTCCGCCTACCAAGAGGGCGTCAACCAAGACGTTCGCATCCTCACGCGCCTCGGCCACAGCCCGCCGGACGGCGACCTCGGGCCCTTACATGCGCTCATGGCACCGTGGCTTGATCGCGTCGGCTTACGCTTCGTACATCAGCTGTGCCCATCGCTCGTCTTTAGCTACGTGCTCGAGTATGGCCGCGTCGATCTTGTGCGCGAGCTCATGGCGACGAACGTGCTGCGCCTTATACACGAGCACGAATGGTGTCTTCGTATCGGGACGCGGACCGACTGCGTCTGCAAGCACCGGCATGTGCAACACCACTACGCCGACAGGTGGTACGTGTACAACCAACACAATCGCAACATCTATGCCCCAAGATGTACAGCAACGGAACATGCATTAACGGTCACTTGCGACACCTTGCCGCCGCGGCCTGTCTCGGCGGCCACGTCGAGTTGCTGCGATTCGTCATGGAGACGAGCGCCCGTGCGTATCTGCCGTCAATGCTAGCGGTTGCACTGTGCGCTGGCGGGCTCGGCATTGCGCAGGAGCTCTTGGAAAAGCGCGTGATCTCGGCCTTCAAGGACACGGATATGCGGCTTGCAGTCGCGAGCGGCAGTGCAGACCTTGTGGCTTTTCTCGTGGACAACAGCTCGGATGACATGATCGCAGAGGCATTCAAGCAAGCTAGCGTCCAGAACCAGTTTGCGCTCCTCCAGTGGCTCTGCACCACGTACAACGAGCCACGGTACTGGCGCATGGCTCTCAGCATTGCCGCCACCAACCTCCAACATGACGTGATCGCGTACTTTGCGACAACGCACGACCTTCATCTCACGCCAGCCGAAGCAGCGCGCGTGCAGCGACGCCGCAAGCGCCTCAACGACGATGAGCCTGCCCGGGTGACACGGTCGCGCAACTAGCATCAAAAGCAGCATCGGCACCGTTCTGTCGAGGCAAGCACAGACAGCTTTATCTAACTAACTATTTAGTGAACTCTCTAGCCATCGATGTGCATATCACTTTGTAGAGCTATGCACATATGATCACATCATGCCCTACGACATGTAACGCTAAAGCCGACAGCCCACAATCGACGATTCCTTGCTTGAGCCGCCCTGTGTCTCAATTTGACACACATGGTCCACACATGGTCCACGCGCGGTGCAGAGGCCATTGCCGTAGTGATTGCACGCGGATCGTGCTTGGCATGAAGACGAGGTCGTCGGCCTGAAGACACAATCGTAAGTGTGGCACCAACGCTTCGCATTCAAAAGTCCCTGCCAGCTCACCCCGCGCGGGACCTGTATATCGTCACTTGAATTAGATCTTGGAGCAAGCTATCGTTGCGTGCATCGACACAGCGGCGTCGCAAAGTACGCGATCACGTCATGTTGAAGGGTTGGTGACAGCGAAATCGAAAGCAATGCGCTAATATAGTGGCTCGTTGTACTCGTACACGTGGTGTGGAGCCACTGCAAGAGCTCAAACTGGTTCTGCGTCGCCGCTTGCTCGAACATCTCTGCCATCTCGCTGCAAGAGCTGTTGGCCAAGAGAAAAGCCACGAGGTGCGTGTTGCCGGGTATCACTGCAAGCTGCATGTGGGAAGCTTTGAAGGCGGGGATGATGCCTTGCCCAACGAGGTCCTGCACGATGCAGAGCCGACCGCCACGCAGCGCAATCACTACCAATTTCGGCAGGTACAGACCGACATCTTTTTCCATGGCAAAACGGAGCAAGTCCGAGGAACGCTGCATTGCGACCGAGCGATACCTTGTGATGGCATGTACGTAAAATCTGTCGATAGAGTCTTTCTGTCGCTGGTCACTATTCTTGGCATTAGCCATTTACAACCATAAATAACCATATTTTGGTGAACATGGGCCCGCCGCGCCGCCGGATCGACCAGAATGAAGTTTGACAATGAAATCGCCCATACTTGCCAGAATGCTAGACCACACTTTTGGGAGTCCAAAATGCGATGTGGCGTCGCCGTACGAGCTCTGTAGCGAGAGCAAATGTCAGCGGCAAACAAAATTTTGATATAGTGTGCTTCTTCGCTGTACTGAAATACTGTATGGGATACAAGGCCTCATCACGCAGCGGTATCACGCACACTTTGCCTCCCTTGGCCCCATGCAACACGCTCTTTAACATGAACAAAAAGAGACGGCGTCCCTGGTTTCCGCGATATCGACGCATTTTAAACCGAAATTGCATGTCGAATTTTGTGAAAACCGACGCTCGGCAGTTCGAGTTTGGTGTGGGTGCCCAAGCAACGACGGCGCCCAACAAACTGGTCGCACACCGGGTCGAGACCCATTGCCAACTGTGGCAGCCTGTTTCACGGTCCTTGGAGCTTTGGAACCCCGCGATGTCACGTGAAGTATTTGCGCAATTCTGCCACCACCTCGAAAAATGGAAAATGGATTTGCGCATGATTGCGCTACGTGCAGCGTCGGAAACGACATGTACGTCATTCAAGAAGTGTGTGGAGAGTATACACGGTTGCTACGTGGCGCTGGCGCGTCTGTGGGCTGCTACTCGTCGTTGTGCTGAATTATGCTCACACTATTTAAGTATATGTCGTGAACCAAGTCTTGTGATAGAAAGGATCCAGCATTGAGCTAGAGTTCCAAACGATCTGCGACGCCAGAAAGATTCTATCGACAGTCTCTACGTACATGCCATCACGAGGCATCGCTCGGTCGCAATGCAGCGTTCCTCGTCGGTCTCCCATGTTTTCTTCAACGCCAGGGCAATGTGTTTCAGGTATTAATAATCAGAGCGACAAGACTTCGATTTGTGGCCAATCAGAGCGGCAAAGATTTCGCTTTCGAGCTAATCGCCAGTGTTCTTGCCGAACCGATCATGGCCACCAGGCACGTATATATATGAACGTGTTCCGCGTTATCTTCCTTACAAAGAGTTCGCATACGTAGTGCTACGCCTGAATGCGTGGGAGTTGGTACCAGCACTTGGTCGTTGGGAGTGAGCTGCGCACGGAGAGATCCATCCCGTGGTGGACCCCACTCGCCGAGAGTTAGCTCGCTCGAGGTCGTACGCAGGCTCCTGTACTCGGACCACCCGACAGAGGAGTGCAAGCCGTCGGGTGTGTTTCAAACGAAACCGTCCGAGCCCGCATCCGAATAAATCCGGATACCGACCCAGCGCATAGAACCGACGCCGCACGCGGCGAGGCCGGACGACTGGTGGTGGCGGCGGAGGGCCGGGAGGCGACGGGACTTCGTGGAGGCAGGGCGACCGCGCCCGCGGGGCGAAAGCACGGGAGGGCCAGGCACGTGATACTAGTAATACTAGTAGTACGTGGCAAGCCGTGCGCTTCGGCCATACCTACAGCCTGTAGGTATGGGCAGCCTTTCTATGCGTGACGAGCCACCAAGTCGGCCCTTGGGTGGAGCCCTGGCCAATTTCTCGACGGCCTCTCTCGCACGTCGGACACAAGATCGCCTCCGAGATGCGCTCCTCCAAGCTCCCATTTTGGTCGATCCGCGGTCGCCGAAACAGGCCGCGACTGCAAGGTATGAGCCGAAAATGCACGTCCCGTTGGCACACATGCTGCAGTAAAAAGAGACGTAGCCGCCGTGGATATTTCCGTCGCCGTCGGCGGTGTTCTGCCATTGCAAATGAAGGTGCTTCCCCATGCAGCGGCGCCACGCCCCGTACAGGAGCAACCACTGCTGGCCAGTGAAGCAGAGCATATGCGCCGCCATGAGCTCACGCACAAGATCGACACGGCCATACTCGAGCGCGTAGCTAAAGACGAGCGATGGACACAGCTGAGGCACGAAGCGGAAGCCGACGCGATCGAGCCACGGTGCCATGACCGCATGCACGGGCCCGAGGTCGCCGTCCGGCGGGTCGTGGCCGAGGCGCGTGAGGATGCATACGTCTTGGTTGACGCCCACTTGGTAGGCAGTGACGAGTGGCAGGAGCTGCGCGCTCATGAGGACGCCGGGGCAGGCCATGTTCGTTGTTGCAGTCTGCTTGCGGCGTTCGTTGCTGAATCGGATTCGAAACAACCCAACAGTGATATGTGTTTGCTTGGGTTGAAGTTGGCGGCGTCGAGTGCTTGCTGTATTGACGCAGCCGGGAACCAGTAAGTTGATCCCTCGTGTTCATGCGACGACGTATTTGATGCTATTGCCTTGACATCGCCGAATTCCCAACGACGTGGCGGCGTAATTCACCCAATCGCGCGATGCCATTGGTTCAAATGCAGCGAATAGCATGCCATACAAGGCAACATTCGCATTTGATTGGCTAAGAAAGGCGTCACGCGACGGTCGGGTTGGCACGCAGTGCGGTGGCTGAGCGCACCTGGGTTGGCATACGGCAGGCCGTGTAAAATTCGGTCTTTGCCTGATTTAAATAAATTAAGCTATTTTACGCACATTGCGAGCACTAAAATGTGCATCTGCCGAAACTAGAGCATGTGACGAGGCATTTGGGCATGTGACGAGGCATTTGAGGGGTTCATGAGCAAGATATGATGCATTTCAATGGCTTAAAGCTTGCAATACGTCCCGCTGCTTGGCCTGGAAGACTCCTTCGAGTGAAAGGTGCATCATGTCGGTCCGATTCTCGTCCATTTCCCACTTGAGGATCGAGAAATCAGACTCGACGGACGTGGTGTTGGGGAAGACGGCTGCTAAGCCACAGCAGAAGGTCTGCAGAGTGACCCAGCGTCCGGCCGTCACGTCCCAGGCCTCATCAAATGTTGTAGTGAGGTCGTGCTTGTCGAGAGCAGCTGAGAATGAAGGTTCAAGGCCGCCTTCTTCATCTTCTGCCAACTTGAACAGTGACATGGCATTAACCTTCTGCTTGACGAGTTGCGCTGCTTTCTTCCTCGCGGCAGACGCGGCGTTGTCTCCGAGTTCGTCGTCGTCCTCATCCACGTCGCCTTGGTCGGGTCGAAAGAAAAGATCGCCAATGATGTCGTCGACAATCGTCCCCTTGATCGTGTACACGATCGTGTCCGCGGAGCTGTCGACGAAGCTGTGCATCGTGTTGGCCGAGCTGATCTTGTCCGTGAAGTAGACCTTCTTCTTCTCCAACGACAACTCCTTGTACACCGCCCAAGACGCTTCGTGCTGCTTCAGATGGCTGCGGTAGTTCTCGGGCTTAAACGGTCTCTTGAAGAATTGAATGTCGGTGCGGCTCTTGCGTTTGCGCGTCGCACCAGGACAGACTTCCACCTTGTCGCGGCCCTCGTAGACACAAAACTTGCAGCGCACTGTCTGATCGCCGTCCGCGGAAGTCGCGACGAGCTCCAAACCGTACTCGAGGGCGTGTTTCGACTGGAAAGGGGTCGTTCTTGATGGCGCCATGGCCTACAAGCTCGTACGGGCACGTATGAAGCGGCAATGCGGATGAAAAAAGGCTTAATTTCTGCCCGCCGGCAATTTTAATTTAGGCAAATGCAGGTCTAATTTTGGAAAATGCCTAAATTTACACGGCCTGCCATACGGTAGCTCCTTGAGGTTCAGTAGTATAGCTTCCCGATAAATGACACGAGATAGATTCTTGATTGATTGATTAATTGATTGATTGATTGATTGATTGATTGATTGATTGATTGATAAGTAGATAAATGATTGATAGATAAGTCTTGGGTTCTACCGAGGGCTTAGTCGCGCGGGCTTGTCGGCGCATCGCGCTTGCGCTTGCGGCGTTGGTCGGTCGCTTCGTTGCGCTGGTGGCGTCGTTGCACGCGCGTTGCTTCGGTCGGCGTGAGGTGGAGGCCAAGCGTCGTTGCAAAGTACGCGATCACGTCATGTTGGAGGTTGGCGACAGCGATATTAAGTGCGATGCGCCAGTACAGTGGCTCGTTGTACGTGGTGCAGAGCCACTGGAGGAGCGCCAACTGGTTCTGGATGGTAGCTTGCTCGAATGCCTCTGCGATCATGCCGTGGGTGCTGTGATTCAAGAGGAAAGCCACGAGGTCCGTGCTGCCGCTCGCGACTGCATGCCCAATGTGGTGGGCTCTGAAGGCGGCGACCACGCGTTGCTCCAAGAAGTACTCCACGATGCAGAGCCGACCGCCACGCAGCGCAGTCGCTACCACTGTCGGCAGGTACAGTTTGACATCTTGTTCCATGGCAAAACGGAGCAAGTCGACGTGGTCGCCGAGACAGGCCGCGACTACAAGGTGACGCACGGCGCCGGAAATGGTTTCGCTACCAGTCTTTCCGTAGGAACAGGAGTTGCAGACATTCCCGCGGTGGTCGGCCATGTAGTGTTGGCGCAAATGACGGTGCTTACCCACGCAGCGGCGCCACGCCCCGTAGTGGAGCGTCCAGCGTCCGCCGGCGATGCACAGCGTCTTCGTCGCCACAAGCTCGTGCACAAGATCGACGCGGCCATACTCGAGCGCGTAGCTAAAGACGAGCGATGGACACAGCTGAGGCACGAAGCGAAAGTCGACGCGATCGAGCCACGGTGCCATGACCGCATGCACGGGCCCGAGGTCGCCGTCCGGCGGGTCGTGGCCGAGGCGCGTGAGGATGCATACGTCTTGGTTGACGCCCTCTTGGTAGGCGGTGACGAGCGGCAGGAGCTGCGCGCTCATGAGGACGCCGGGGCAGGCCATGTTGCAGTCGGCTTGCGTCGTGCGCCGCTGGATCGGATTTGAAATTTTAAACACGTGGCGTGTTTTAAACAGGTTTCAAACACATGGTACCGGGAGAATGAGGTGGCAGCGGGAGGCGGCGTGATTCGCGGGATGGAGCGATGCCATTGGCTGCAATACAACGAATGACATGCCGTTGAATGTGGAATCGACTTTGGATTGGCTTATAATCGCGCCAGAGCGTCAAGGCTGCGCTGACCAACGCAGGGGTACATAATAGTACCCCTGGACCAACGGCCCTGAATGCTACCGAGTCCACACAGATACTGGTACGTGAGTTCGAGTTGTCGGTCTCACGTGGCAGCATGGCGTCCCACGTCGATACTCGTGGAGAAGTAGATGGATGGAAAGGGATTTAGAGATAGTACATGGATAGATAGACGCGACGCACCTGCAGTGTCGTACGCTATCTACGCGAGCGTGTCCGTCGGGTAGGCTAACCTTTGGTGTGACGCTTGTGGCGTCGTTGCACGCGCGCTGCCTCGGCTGAGGCGAAGATCGTGCGTCGGTGCAACGTAATGAATCATGTCGTGTTGGAGGTTGGTGGCTTGGAGAGCGATGCGCCAATGCACTGGTTCGTTGTACTGCGTACAGAGGCACTGGAGGAGCGCAAGTTGGTTGTAGGCGACCGCTTCTCGAAAGGCCACAAGAGCCATGCCACCAGAGCTGTTCTTTAAGAGCAACGCGACGAGGCCCGGTTTGCCGATCGCCGCGGCAAGCCGCATGTTATAGGCCTTGCAGCTGGAGATCGCTCGTAGGTTGAGGAGCTCTTGCACGATGCAGAGTCTGCCGGTGCGCAGTGCGATGGCTGTCAATGCTGACGGGCACGCACCGATGGACTTCTCCATGAAAAAATGCAGCAAGTCGACGCAGCAAGGTGGTATTAATTCACTTGACCAGATTGGCGGCTCACATTCCTCTGCGCGCCGCGAAACAACATGTCGCCGTACTCCAAGTACGCGGGCCAGATGCTGTCGACGTACGATTGCAAATGGCGATGGTTGTGGGCACAGCTGCGCCACATTATGATGTCGAGATACCAGCACTTGTTGCTGAGATGCAGCTCGTCTGTCGCCATGAGCTCGCGCACAAGATCGACGCGGCCATACTCGAGCGCGTAGCTAAAGACGAGCGTTGGGCATAGCTGGTGCAAGAAGCGGAAGCCGACGCGATCGAGCCACGGTGCCATGACTGCGTGCACAGGCCCGAGGTCGCCGCCTAGAGCTGGAGGGCTGTGGCCGAGGCGCGTGAGGATACGCACGTCTTGGTTGACGCCCTCTTGATAGGCGGTGACGAGCGGCAGGAGATGCGCGCTCATGAGGACGTTGACGAAGGCCATGTTGCAGTTGGCTTGCGTGTTGATTGCGCCGTTGGATCGGATTTGAACCCGACCCGACCGCGAGGTGTGTTTTAAACATGTTTTTAACAACGGTCGGACCACTGGGCACACTGACGTCGCGACGGCGATCGTGCGTGGGCCGCTACTTCCGCATTCTCTTTCAAGCTGCACTAAAACGTGAAAGGTACGATACGTGTTCCACTGCCGACTAGTCAAAGCAACTCTTCTTACGTTGTGTAGAACCGCCTCCACGACCTACCCCTAGCCTACCCACCCTAGCCCCGCGCGAACCGAATCGGGTGTGACCCGCACCTCTCTGTCCTCACGAGCGTGCACGAATACGTTCTACCTAAACACCCTCGCTATAAGCATCGCACATACAATGTCCTCCATTAATCCTCACACCTATCCAATCCTATCCATAGCCAGATCGTCCAGTATCCAAAATCGTGGTTCCCACTTTATCCTCTAGAGCGAAATGACGTCGTTGCCGTGGATATCAGTATCGAGGCGCGCGAGGGCCGATGCGAGGCCGAGCGCGCTCTCCGACGTGCCCAAAAACGCATCGGTCAAGAGCCGGTCGCTGCTACTGTGCCCGGTCTCGTCGTCGTCGCTGTACATCAAGATCGCGGGCATCGCCATCGGCTCATCGTCCGAGGGGCCGACACCGAGCTTGCGCCGCTTCTCTTTTGCACGAGCTTGCTCGAGCGCAGCGACCGGACGCAGAAATGACCCGCAAAGAGCTCAAACGCTGGCAGTGACGTGGCCGCGAGCTCCTCGAGGAACGCGTCGAGGGCCGGTGTGTACGTCATGTTTTGCTTCCCGACGCCGCGCCGCGCCTTGTCCTTGACATCCAAGACGCTCGCCAAGACGCCTTCGACGACGCTGAACTCGCGGAACGCGCCTCCGAGGCCCAAGCGCGCGAGCTTGAGCCAGAAGACCCCGCGGTCGTCGTCGCGCGGCGTGTCAAGCACAAGCGATCGAAGGCTCGGGTTGCCGGCCACGGCGCGCAGGAGCGGGTCGTGCTTCGTGAACGCGTGCGGCGTGAACTTGACATTCGCGAGCACCGACGCGGGGTCGCCCGCTTTCTTGCGGGCGCGGCTCACGGCCGATCGAAAGGTCGCGTTGCGGTGGAGGCTGCGGCAGGCGTCGCACGCACCCAGGGCCCGCGTGCAGCTGCGGAGGCAGCGCCGGCTGCGAACGCACTTGCCGTGCTTGTCGATGCGCCAGAGGGACTCGCGGAACGCCGCATCGTGGATCACGTCGGCTTGCGCCGGCGTCAGGGCCGAGAGCACCAACTTGCCGTCGACGAGCGCGTCCGGGGCATAGTCTTTCGCGAGCACGTACCGCGGGCGGCTGCCGCCAATGGGCTGGAAGCTCGCGCTCACGAATTCGTGCACCGCCGTGATGCCGGGGCACGGAATCTCTTCGTTCGGGTGACTCTGACTATGGATTGCCCACGCGGCTTCGCGCTGGGCCAGCACCGTGGACGCAGGAGGCGCGATCGGATCGTCCAGAGGCACTTCGTCCGGTACAAGGTCGTGGTCGTCATTGTCCGAGGGCGGGTCGTCCGACGGTGGTAGCGACAGCATGAGGTCGCCCAGCGCGGCGTCTGGCGGCAGCAATGAGAGCACGTGTCCATCCGATTTCCGGGACCTGCTTCGCTTGGACCGGCCGCAAAAGTGCAGACTGAAGAGCGTCGCCGCGTCCTCGGACAAGTCGGCAAGTGCCGCATGGAACGCATCCAAGGCCGGGGATATCGGCATGTTTTGCTTGCCGACGCCGCGCCGCTCCTTTTCTTTCAAATGCACGATCCACTCGAGCACGGCAAGGAGCACTGGGTGGTCGGCGAGTTCGTTGCGCAAGCCGACTTCGGCGGCATGGAGCCAGACATGGCTGCACTTGGTCGCATCGCTCGCGTGCTGTGCAAGCAGATCGCGGAGCTCGCGGACGTAGGCGTCCTGCCCGTGGACGAGGAGCGCGTCGACGGCCGACGCCGGCCCGAGGCTCTTGGGTATAAACTTGGTTTGACGCAGCGCCTTGGGTGGCTTGTTGGCACTCGCGACCGCTGTTCGGAACGACGGAATCGACCGCAGATGACTGCATTTCGCGCAGGGCAGCCGCGTCGCGTCGGAGGTCGTGCGCGTCGCCGCACCCGTGCACTGGAGGCTCCGGACGGTACCTGCATCCTTGTCGATCCACCAGAGCGCTTCGCGCTGCAGCGCGTCGTGCAGCAGCTTCTTCTCGGTCGGGCAGAGCAGTTTGGCCATCTCGCACGGCCCACCGGGTGGCAGCAGACGCGGAAAGAGCTCTCGCGCGATCGTATGGCGCGGCCGGGACCCGCCCGTGACCTGGACCGCTGCGCGCACGTAGACGGCCACATCCGGCGACCGAATGCCGGGGCATGGCAGTGCGAGCACCGACGAGGGTGGCGGCGGCGGCGACGCGCGGCGACGCTTGCGCTGCACGGGCCGATCGCAGACATCGCTCTCGACGTGGGCAAAGAACGCTGCCGGTTGCCATGGGCCCTCGAGGTGCACGAGCCGGTTGCAGCGACACTCGATCGAGAGCCCATCCGGCGCCAGCGCAACAAACTTGGGGTGCTCGCGCAGCTGCTGCGCGACGCGGAAGCGGTGTTCGTCAAGGACAGACGCGTCTGGGCCAGGCTCGCCTTGTGCCAGGATTGTATCGACATCTGCACTCACAGAAGCTTGCGCCAAGGCCGTGCGCTTCCGGCTCGGCCGTGGCTCGCCGCAGTTGCGACTCATCGTGTGCTGGTCGTACTTGAGCATGTACCACGGCGGGTTGAGGCGCACGATGCGGCCACACTTGCAAGCAACCTCACGGCCATCGGTTGAGACGCTCAGCACCATGGGATGGGCCAGGAGACGGCGGCGCTTCTCGTCCTTGAGCGACGTCGCCGGCGCCAGGGTAGGCGGCAGAAAGGTCATGCTGCCCACGTCCGTATCGGCGTCGTCGTCCTTGTCGGGCGACTGCATGTACCTGTCGAGCGCCATCTCTTGCTCGTACGCATGGGCGTCGTCGGTCAGCTCGGCGCTGGTCGCGTCCAGCGCAAACGCGCTCGTGTACGCTGCCTCCATGCGCCACGAATGCGCCTTCGGCCATTGGACAAAATCGCACGCAACCACGGCGTGTGATTGGTGCAAATGGAATGTGGCATGTGCCACGTAGTGATTATCCGGAGGGTCCGGATACCGACATTTGGATTTTTGAATTTCATCCTCAGTCGAGTTCGTGGCAGCGATCGGAGGAAGCATGGCAGGCCGAGGAGATGCATCGTTCGCATGGGAGCTCTGCAAGGAGAACGTGGCCCCGGTCGCGCGGGGAAGGAACGTCGAGAAGCTCAACGCGCTCCTCGTCAAGGCCAACTCGGTCGAGCTCAAGGCGTCGCTGGCCGAGATGGAGCGGTACGTCATGGAGCGCCGACGACGACGGTTCGATCCATGTGCATCATGCTAGGTCGTATGAAGTCCAGATCAAGAACGCCATGAGCCATGACGACCCGCTCGAGACATGGGTCGCGTACCAGAAGTGGACCGAGGAGAACTTCCCGTCCGACACGGCCAAGAACTTTACGATCCTCGAGCGCGCGACCCGCGCGTTCACGGCCGATCGACGCTACCGCAACGACGACCGGTACCTTCGGTTCTGGATCCAATATGTACGTCCAAGCGTCCATGACGACGATGCAGAAGAAGGACTCATACATGGACATGGCGTAGATTGACCGCATCGACAAGCCCATCGAGGTCTTTAAGTACCTCTACAAGAACAAGATTGGCGACAAGCTCGCGCTCTTCTACATTGCGTGGGCGCTCCTCCTCGAGCGCAAGGGCGACGTCAAGAACGCCGAGCTCATTTACGCCAAGGGGCTCCAAAAGTACAGTTGGCCCTGCTGGTCGCCCTGGATGAACCCTTCTTGATGTGTAGAAAAGCCGAGCCGTTTGACGCGCTCGAGCGCAAGCACAGCGAATTTGAACGGCGGGTGAGCCAAAAGTGGCTGACGTCGCGGGACGACGACGAGGACGACACGTCGCAGGGCCGCCAAGCGCTTGCCCCAACGGCGGCGCCTACCATCGTCGTCCCCGTGGTGCCACGTCGCCAACCCGCGTCCACTACCGTCGCCAACGCGTCGTCGTTTGCCATTTACTCGGAGAACGACAAGGCCCACGCCAACAGCAGTGTCCTCTCCGAGAACAAGAGCAGCGCATGGAAGGTGCTGCCGTCGTCCAAGGTAATCAACAAGGAGAACGAGCAAAAACCGTCGATTTGGACGGGTGCTGGCCTCGCACCACGGGCAGGGCACACTCCGTCGTCGGCGTACGACGAGCCGACCGGACCACCTGTCGAGATCTTTGTCGACGAGACTGCGGCGACGCGCGCGTCGAGTCGCAAGCGACCGCACGCGGGCCACGACACGGGCCGTGCACTGCGTCCGCGGCTCGATGACCGATCGATGACACCTGCGGTGCTTCCCTCGCACGACGAAAACCCGACGCAACCATCGGTGTCGACCAAGCCGGATCCCTCGGCCCGCAAGGCGACCAAGCCCGCGACCAAGCGCGACATTCTTCGCGTTAACATTGAAATGCTCAAGGTGCCGGGGCAGGACGATCTCTGCTTTGAGGAAGTGCGCGCACAGCGGTACTGGAAGGCCAAGGCACAAGCTGCCGCAGCGGTCAAGGCCCTAGCGGCGCCGGTCGCTGCAAGTAAGCCTGTGCGCAACGGTTTCCTTGTCGACGATACGGACGACGATGTTGTCCAACAAGCGCCCGCGCCGCAAAAGTGGCAGCCTACTGTGCGTACGACCATGGCACGTGGCGGTGTCTTGGCCGTGACCGGCGCCATGCACCCGCTCGCAGCGATCGCGGACGACGCCAAGTACACGCAGGACGACATGACGTTCAACACGCGCATGGCGTACGAGGACATTGGCAGCATGTTTTGCAGCCCGACAAAAGCCGCTCCGGTCGTGGCGTCGCCCACACAAGAGCAGTTGACGTCGTTTCGCAAGTCCAACTGGGTGCCCAAAACGGAAGAGCCGATCGTGCGCAAGCTGCACTTTTCGGCGTTCAAGGCCAAGCCCAACGGCCGTGACGACGACGACGATGACGACGATGAGAGCACGCCGGCTGTCGACGCCAACCCCGCGTTCCTCATTTTTACAGAGGAGAACGACAAGTCCGGTCCGGTCGTCCCGCACAAGAAGGACCCGAACCGGAAGGCGCTTGGCGACCGCAACGACATTGCCAAGTCGACAAAGAAGACCAACAAGGACGTGCTCGGGTTCAGTCTTTTGCCCACGACGCTGGGCGACCGGTAGAGGCTCATTGTGTTCCACGACAGGCGCGTCGGCCGTACGAGTAGCGGGGGCACCGACCACTTGGACCTTTTGCCAGCCCCCACAACGTTGAGGTAGCTTCGTATTTATATGTATTTGTATTGGTTTTCAACACGAATGATGACCATCGCTCCATGTCCACGCATGCTGCAACTGGTGCTTGACGCCATGTCCCTGTAGCGAGGGGCGCCTCGTCGACCCGTATGTGACCAAGCATCGAAAAGAGATGGTGCAATCGCAGACGCTCGCAACGCTCCTTTGCTCGTTGGGAACCGGTGTCTACGTGTACAAGCACGTCTTTGACGCGAAACTGCCAACCTTCAAGCAAAAGGGACCGATCAAGTTCAAAGCGCCGATCGCTGTGCGCTTCAACCACTTTATGGTGTGCCATCTGACGGGCCGCCTCGGCTCGGGCTCGTTTGCGTCTGTTTATGCTGCGACGTTTCCGTCCATTGAAGACACAGAGCTCATGGACCACGAAGTCGCCATGAAGGTGGCACGATCGCATTGCCTATTGTCTCGTACTGACACGCAATGAGCAGCACGAGAAAGGCATTGAGTTTTTACCATGGGAGTTTTACGCGATCCAGACAATCCACAATCGCACCAAACCGTCGCACTGGGCCCTCTTTCCCCGTCTGCACCCGTTTGTGATTCAAGTCGACCAGCTGCACGTCTACCAGGTGCCCTATTTCCAATCGTAAATAGGGTTCGGCCGACAATGCTCTTTGTGTGTGAGAAAGAACGCGACCTTCTTGTGCCTCGAGCGCAGCTACCGGGGCACACTGCACGACCTCGTCAACACGTACGCCAAGGTAACCTCTACCCTGCTCCTCGTGTCGCGTCGATAGCATGGGCGTCGACTAGCATGGCAAGGCGGTGCCAGAGAACATTGCGGTGTTCTACACGCTTCAAATGCTCCGGTCGATCCACATGGTGCATTCCGCCCACTTTCTCCACGGCGACATCAAGCCCGACAACTGGGTGCTCCTTCGCGGCAGCGGACTCGCGACAGGCGCGGCGGCGTTCGAGACGTCGGAGCTCAGCCTCATCGACTTTGGCCGGTCCATCGATCTGCGCCTGTACCCAAAGGGCACGTGCTTCAAGGGCGACTGCCACGCCAAAGGCTTCCAGTGCGTCGAGATGCTCACCAAACGGCCGTGGCGCCACCAAGTCGACGCGTTCGGCGTCGTGGCCACGGCCCACTTTCTGCTCTTTGGTGACTATATCGAGCTCCACACCACGTCGCCGTCGACGTGGCGCATCAAGCGGCATTGGAAGCGCTACTGGCGCTCCGATCTCTGGACCACTCTCTTTGATCGCGTCTTGAACGTCCCGTCGTGCGATGCGCCGCCCGACCTTTTGGCGCTCGCAACGATGCTTGAGCGGTACTACACGGAGGACGCGTCCAAGATCAAGGTCCGTTTAATCTCGACACGGCGCAGCGATGTAGCCATGGATGGGGAATATTGTAGGAGCTCACGCAGCTGCTCCGCGCGCAAGACCGCATGGTGCCCCGGTCGTCCCTCTGAGAAGTTCGTCGATCAAGCGATGGCGAGTGGAAGAAGGGATTTTCCATCACGACGCCATTGGCACACAACATGATTTTACGTGTTTATCCTTGAAGCAAGCCATGAGCGACGAGTTCGGTGCGGATTTTGGCGGCCGACTCGTCCGAGCACTCGACGAGCGGAAGGCGGCACGCCGGCGAGCACATCCCAAGGAGCTGCATGGCCTTCTTGATCGGCTGCGGGTTGGTCTCGATGAACATGGTCTTGCACAGTCGAATCTACCATGCGCCAGCGCATTCTCATGAGCCCATCGACCATTGCGCTACGTCGACGTACCGACAAGAGATGCGCCCGGCGCGCGGCCGCATAGTCGCCGCGAAGCGCCGGTTCGGTCACGTCCAAGACCCGGCGCGGTGCTACGTAGCACACTTCATCAACCACCACGGACGGACAAGAAGCACCTCCTTACCAATGTTGGAGAGGACGCTAATGCAGCCTTTCCGCCGATCGACATGATGGGCAGCGTCAACGTGTCGTCGCCCGAAAGGATGGTAATGTCGCAGAGCGCCGCGATCTCGGACGCTTGCTCGAGCGACCCGGTCGCCTCCTTGATGGCCACAATGTGCGGCAGCTTGTACAGCTCGGCGACTGTCTCGGGTAGCATGTTGACATTGGTGCGTCCAGGAATGTTGTAGAGCACGACGGGGAGGCCAATGTCCTGGATGACCTTGAAGTGCTCGTAGAGGCCTTTCTGCGACGGCTTGTTGTAGTACGGGTTGACGACGAGACAGGCGGTCGCGCCCGCGGCCTTGGCCGCCTTGGTCAAGCGCACGGCCTCGACCGTGCTGTTGGAGCCAGTGCCTGCAATGACCGGGACGCGACCCGCCGCGTACTCGACGACGGCCGCGACGACCTTGTCGTGCTCGTCGTGCGAGACGGTCGGGCACTCGCCGGTCGTGCCCATGGGTACGAGGCCGTTGATGCCGTCGGCGATCTGCGCCTCGACGATGCGGCGGAGCGCGTCATAGTCGACGTGGGCGCCGTCGGCCGTAAAGGGCGTCACGAGCGCGGTGAAGGCGCCTTGGAGTTGGAGCTTGGCCATCGTGTGCAATTCGGTTCTGAGCTCGGCGCAAAGATCGCGTTTTAGTGGCCACCAGAAGCATTTTCTGGAGCGGATGACGCAATCGGGACCGGCCAATCTTGTGTGCGAACCAATCAGAATGGAGGAATGTGTTTTAGACGCGTTGGATTGGTGGAAACGACATGCGACACGCCACGTTGAACTTGCCTTGGCGCCACACGAGGGCGCTTGAAGATTCCCGTGGTACGGCGGATGGACGTGGGCTCCGTCAAGTGTTGGATGTCGATCACCCGAAGCGTCCTGAAATCGATTGGCAGGCGATGACGTCGACAGCTGCCGCGTCACATGGATGAGGAAGGACCTAGAGCCTGGAGCGTGGTGCCGGGATGTCAATGGTGCGTGGTACGATGATGGTCGTGGGCTTGCGGTGCCAGCGTGTTCTCTTAGAGACCAAGATAGGATGCGTTGCACATAGCATTGGGTATTTGTACAGTAAAGCGGAAAGCTCGGTCGTCACGCGTGCCTCGTTCACCCACGCTGTCAGGTGGGTCAAGCAAAACACGTGGTGCCACGTCTGGTGCCATGCTCGACTTCAACCAAGAGCTCGGCGCGTGGCACTCACCCTGCCACACTGCGCGGCATCATCACGTCCTGCGGTAGCCTGCTGCCGTAGGGGGTTGCACCGGCGGACCACCACGGCTCCACGTCGTGAGTCGCATGAAGGCAGCTCGTAGTGGACCAGATATTAATACAACTTCAGGTCTGGGGTGTCGTATCTGCATCTGCTTTGACGACGACGCTGCTGCACAACAAACCATATACAGCTGTACGACGAAGAAACGCGAGCTCACATCCAAGACAAAACCAGTCGAACGATCCATTCTAACCTGAAAACGTGAGCGCAGAGTGTCTAACGCCGTGACTCGTCGGCACAGAGTGTCCTCGTACCATGTCACTTGATACTCGAGGGGTGGTCTCCTACAGAGCTGGGGTCTGAGGAAGCTCCCACACCGACTCGTTGGTCGCGCGGTTGTAATAGTAGACGCTGCCGTTGGCGTCAACGCACGTATCCCACGTCGGCGGCTGCCACCCGCGCGGCGGGTCCCACGTCGTCTCGCGCGTCATTGCGTTGAAGTAGTAGACGTTGCCGTCGGCGTCGATCGCTTGGGTCCAATGGGCCGTGTCGTCGTCGTTGGGGACCCGCACCGGCGACGTGGCCAGTGGTGTCATCGCGATCGCATACTCGTCGGCCATCGCGTAACCGTCGACGTCGAATCTATCCACGACGGGCGGCGGGTCGTCTACTGTAATCGTTGGCGCCACTTTCCAGTGCCGATACCAGCGCTGAATGGAGGTAACGGCAGTCGTACTCGCGCTGCTGTGGGCACGCTGCGATTGGCGCCACTTGGCGACGCGTCGGTGCACGACCTGCTGCAGGCGGAGGACCAGGTAGAGCGTCGACCAGCCACGAGTCCTTCTTCGTGGTGGAGGCGCGCGCTGGCGAGTGATACGACGGTGCTGTGCCCGGAGCGTCTTGAGACCCAGTCGAATGTCGGCGCGGACGACATGCACCCGATACTGGCGTTGAATGCGCACGGCCGCCCGTGACTGCCGGCGACAATATTGTCCATAGACCCGTTGGATTGTCGATGCGGCAGCGTCAGCAATGTTGCACTGCATGGCGAGACACGGTAGCGACGAGTCGCGCCGTAGTCGGTCGGCCGTCGCCAACACGCGGTTGTTTGGCGCCATGGACACGGGCAACTGGACATCAGGCGTGACGGGGTCAGGACGAGCGTTGACGCCGTGTTGTCATCGACGGCTGCTACCAATGACGGTGCGAGTACGGTACGAGTGGAGAGAACGTAGGCGGGGATGGCGATCCGGGGCGCGCACCGCGCGAGCACCGTCACCTTGTCGATCGACGACACGACCCGAGCTGTTAGATACCGACTCGGGTGTAGAAAGCGACAGAGGGGTCGAGATTTTCGCGATGGTTTCTTCTTTTGTATGGGGTCCCCGGGGCGCGCCAGAAGGCGTGCGAGGAGGTAGGTGTTGATGGCTTCGGTCTCAATGTCGCGGGGCGCGCGCTGAGCTCTTTTTTGTTGTCGCACGGGCTCGGGGGCCGGGGGGCGATGCCGGCGCAGCTTTGGCTTACCATTGGCACGCAATCTGGTTCTGGTCGGTGACTTGTTGCGGATGTGCTTGCGCCGTCGTCGTCGGAACCAGACTTGGAGCCGACGGGCGGCCGCGTGTCGATGGTCTGGTCATATCGGTTCATCAGCAACCAGAATTCTTGGTCTGCCGTACCTTCGAGTTCCTTGGCGCGTTGCAGCTTTCGCTGCAGAAACCGTCTGCACACGAAGGCATAAATGACGCGACATGCGTGCTCGAGGCGTCGACAACTCGTTGGTTTTGGAGTCTTGGGTCGTGGCCGAGTGATACCAGCGCTCTGCGGGCGTTGCTAGCCGCACCGTATGAGCCATTGGACTGGAAAATTGCAGAGTATACGCGGCGAGATGTCGCGCTGTGGAGGCGGGCGGCGCTGATTCCTGGTCCGCGCGGTAGTCGATGCTTGTATGGAACGTCGGTCGCGTCAAGCAGCGAATACGTCTCGGCTTCGAGCGCCTGTAAATGAGGCGCCTTGAACATGGGTGCACGGTACACCATTGTGGCAACATCCATCGGGTGGTCGATCGGCTTGTCCACCAGAGTCCTTCGAACACTGGTCGCCGACGTTGGACGGTGGTTGTCCACGAACGCTTTCGGTGGCGACCGCGTCGTCTTCTTGGTCTTTTTAGCGCCCGGCGTCCAGCGCGCTGAGTGATACACGGTAGCAATCGCATCTTGAATGAACGTGTTGCAGTATTGCGGATCGTAGGCGAGCGCATTCTCCGTCGGCGCCCGGCGGCCGTGCGACCATTTATGGGTGCCCGCGTCAAGAAGCCGGTGGCGTCGGTCGATCGGATTTGAAGCGGCATCCGCACGCCACCGTCCGGCCAATGTCACACTCGCCGATGCCACGGGGTCGTTCATATCTCTCGTTTGAAACGGCCCATCGTCGCACGATGCGGCGGTTCCGAGGCCAGCGTCCGAGCCGTCGATCGCACTCACTTTGCCTTTGCATCTACGACTCACAAG